CTGGAGGGAATTGGGAGCAAGGAGCAATTAGCTGGGAAAGGAGGGGAGCTTTTGACAGGTTTGGCTTTGGGGTCACCATCCCCTCTCGTGTTGCAGCCGAAGGAGGAGAGGCCCCCGTCGCCCATCATCGAGGTGGACAACCTGGAGGAGTTCGTGCTGCGGCCGGCAGAGCAGGGGGTGACCGTCAAGTGCCGGGTGACGCGGGACAAGAAGGGGATGGACCGGGGGCTTTACCCCACCTATTACCTCCACTTGGATAACGACAAGAAGGTAGCCAGGGTGGGGGTGAGGGGGCCCCCGGGGCTCTGCACCCACCCCAGGGAGCACCCTCGGTGTTTCGGGGGGGATGCCCGCCTGCATCCCACCATGGTGGTGGGTCCTGGATGGGACTGCTCCCCTCCCCTGCATTTCCTCCTGGGAAATGCCCTGCATCGATGGTACCCGGGATGATGAGCAAACGGTGGCCGGAGAACCACGCTAATGCCGGGCTGGGCTCAAGACCCTCTCGCTCCACAGCTCAGTCGGTATTTTGGGAGTCATCTTCACTCCACGACTTGCGTAAGGTCGTGGCAGTGACCTGTTGGGCTGAGCCTTGTGCAAAGGGCACAGCGGGGCGGCGAGCTGGGGACAGTGGCAGCGATGGCAATGCCCCATGCCCACGCGGTCCCACCGCCCTCCCAGGTGTTCCTGCTCGCCGGGAGGAAGCGCAAGAAAAGCAAAACCTCCAACTACCTCATCTCCATCGACCCCACCGACCTGTCGCGGGGGGGAGAGAACTTCATCGGGAAGCTGAGGTAGGAGCAGAGGTGGCACCCCATTCCTGCAGCACCCCATTCCTGCAGTACCCCGTTCCTGCTCCATGGGTTACCAGCTGCCTCGAGCGATGGTTGGGTCAGGCAGGAGGCTAAATTCGGTGTTCCCCACTGCCGGGTCCAAGCTGAGGAGTGTCAGGGGGCCGGGAGGGGGAAACAGGCTCATCTGGTTCCTCCTGGCAGACAGGTCACGGCTAGAAACGGTGCCTGGCGAGCCCGGCAAGTCCCGGCCCGCTGTACCACTGGCAGCCACGCAGCAATGCTGGGGGGTCCCCACGGCGGCAGCACCCTTTAACACCCTGATTTAGGGGTGCCCTGAACCCAAGCCAACGGCTAAAGGGTGGGAAGGATGGTGTTGGCTGGGGGCTGCACATGGGTTTTGCAGCTGGAGCAAAGCCAGGGCTGTGCCTGGGGGGGACACGCAGGGGAAGTCGGAGGGGACTTGGTGGCACCGGCCGTGGCCATCTCCCGTCCTCGGCTGCAGATCCAACCTGATGGGTACGAAGTTCACGGTGTTCGACAATGGCGTGAACCCCGACAAGGCCAACGCTGACTGGTCCAACGTGCGGCAGGAGCTCTCGGCCGTGGTCTACGTAAGCAGCGGCACGGGGAGCTCCCCCGGGACCTCCCAGGCAGGCGGCGAGGGGGTCCCGACCTGCACCCCCTTCGCTGGGCTACTGCCCCGGGGGGTTGCAGAGATGCAGGATGGGCTAGATCCGTCCCTGGGTCCTCATTCAGCTGCTGGTGAGAGGCTGCAGCCCGCGGCGGTCGCTGGTTTTAGGGACGGGGTTTCTCTTGCAGGAGACTAACGTTTTAGGGTTCAAAGGCCCCCGGAAGATGACGGTCATCATCCCTGGGATGAACGCTGACAACGAGAGGGTGCCCATCCGGCCCCGAAACGTAAGTCGGGGGCCAGACTGGGAGAAACTCCTTGAGGGCTGGATTTGCTGGGGTTCACCTTGGATTTTACCCATTTTGGGGCATGGAAAGGCTTTCAGGTGTCCCTGAAATTCAAGGCACCTCCCTGGGAGGTGGGAGACGCGGTGTCTGTATTTTTTTTTTTTCTCCACACGGGATCCCATCTCCCAGCTGGGTACTGCTACAGAGCATCCCCCTGGGCATGCCATGGGGGGTGGCAGGGCTCTGGGTGGGTTCACCCCAACTCTGCTCTCCCTCCTCTCGCCCTCCCCAGGATAACGACGGCCTCCTGATGCGATGGCAGAACAAAAACATGGACAACATGATCGAGCTGCACAACAAGGCTCCAGTGTGGAACGACGAGACCCAGTCCTACGTCCTCAACTTCCACGGCCGGGTCACCCATGCCTCCGTCAAAAACTTCCAGATCGTGCACGGCAGCGACCGTAAGCCGGGGAGTGGATGGGACGAGGGGTGATGGTGGGGGAGCACTGCCCTTGGCCGGCCCCCCTTGGCCGGCCCCAGTCCCCCTTTTTTTTTTTTTTGCTGAGGTTTACTTTTTTTTCATGTATAGCTGCTTTGGGATCCTGCCTGCCTTTGCCGGAGCTGGGGCGAAGGCGGCCAGGGCGTGCGGCACCGCACAGGCAGCTGCCTGCTGGCCCCGGGTGCCGGCAGAGGGAGCGCGCGGGTCACCTGTTGCCAGGCAGATTAGGGCAAGGACAAATCCTGTGGGGTGCTGAGCCCCCCCCCCCCCCCAAACACACCACCCCCACCC